AATTGACCTGTCCACTTTGTCTTAAGAGATCCTACAATAGAAGATGGGGAAGCAAAAAAGGCAAATGATGTGGGCGGATGAAGGAGAAAAATTTGTGGGTATGTTGCAGAATTTCGACATGTTAGAGTTTAGACAACTAATTAATGAAACTGCAATCATTGGCGAATTGGAAACTCTGCAGAGGAGCTAAAAGACGCAGTAAAAAAAGGTAATCAAATGATCAATAGATCTACATAAAACATAAAACAGGAAATCTGCAGGATGCATAGCTACATTCAAAAACTTCAATAACTGTTCACTTAAAGAAGATTAGCGTAGAATCATATCAGTCAGTTATTAAGAAACTTTCTAAAAGTAGGTATTAAATAATTAAGTCCAACATATACAAGCTAAGTTTTAGTTAATATACACACATATAGAGACGTCCAACATTATCCGCAGCGACCAGAACTCCTTTGTCAGAATTCAAATCCAAACCATAGAGCATCCTCCAACGGCTGGGACCCTAAAGGGAAACCACACACTCTTCATTAAATAAATTTCCAGATGTAATGTACAAAAATATATGTAAAAGTTTAGCACCAAGAAAACTAAATCTATCATCTATGGTAAAGACCTCCTTAACATCAAATGAAAAATCTAAAAAAGAAATTGGGAAGCACAGCCCACACAGGCAACAAAAATGATGACAATCTTAAATTTTGCTATATTATTCAGGTACTACAGCTTATGCCAAGAAAACAGTCCTATAACAAAAACTGTATAATGATTTGTCCTCTACCTATAAAAAAACAAGCTAATTTGTTCTATTTACACATCTCCACTCCTCCACCATCATCTATTCTTCCACTTACCAGCTAAGGTTGCATAAAGAAACCATGTTTCCAATAATAAAGGGTACCTTCCCCCTCCTACCAACATTCTATCTATGAATTTGACATTTTACAAAATAAATAAGACAACAATATCTGTTCCTAAAAGTAAACACACACACACACACACACAAAAAAGCAGCATATTATGGTCCACAAGTACCTGCCACCCGTTAGGATTTAGGTTCAGCAATGATGATGAAATGCCCGTCTCTAATTCCGTGATGCTTAGTGTTCCATCAGAAGAAGCACCGTATATTGTTTCATCCTTGGATGGATTAAACCTGAAATCATATCATGGTCGTCTTAAATCATGACAACAAGATATGCATGAAGTATGACACCCAAAGTCGAGCACTGAATTATATAACATACACAAGCAACAGAACTCACTTCATGTTGTTCAGTATGCAGCCATGAATATTACTATATACTGTCTTCTCATGCACTTTCGCATAATCCCAGACTCCAAGTTGCCCTTTCTTTAACACAAATAATGTACCTTCACGATCATAAAATTTCTGACACACTCCAACTGATAACAATAGACTGCTAAAAGTATATAAAGCTAACCTTGTCACCAGATATGAGGATATTGTTCCTTGTTGGATGGAACTCCAAACATGTAATACGTCTGCTATGATATCTGATTACTGCACAGTTCACTCTATTTGGTATCACATGGGGAGGTTTGATCTGTTTCGGAAAAGAATAAAAAGCAATACTTCAATAAGGAGCTACATAATAAGTTCCTATTAGGTCTCTTCTACCTATTCTTAAAGATCTGTTAAGAGATTAGTCTCTTGAGATCCAGGCTTTTAAAATTTTATGTAAAGCAGTCATTAGAAAGCTATAAGAGGACCAAACTTAATTCATTGTTTGTTCCATTAGCTCTATATAAAATATCATCTTAAAACTCAACACCCTTGATTCAGAAAATCTAGTGATGTACCAAAGAAAAAAGAGGGATAAAGAAAGAAACGAGAAATGATGTCATATCCACCTATATACTCTTAGAACCACCTATAGTAAACAAGGAATTAAGTGTCCACTACTTAAAATTACAAACCTAAGGCATAACTAAAGATAACACAAATCATAAATGATCATCAAAGAATCAGAATACAATAAAAGAACCGTATGCCTCGCTAATTAAAAGGGAAGAAATACTTGAAGTTACTTAAAGTAACCTCATATGCCCAAAGATACACCAACTCTACTTATCAAATAAAACATGATATATTTACCGCAGAAATTCGGCATCTTATTTGACGCTCAAAAACATACTCCACTGAATTATGAGTGCTCTTATGGGGTGCTGGGGAAACCCCATATTCTGTAGCCACACGGTGTGGACAAGTCATCGTGGTGTGCCCTTCAATTCCCACATCAAGAGATTATAATAAGTACTCCAATTCATCACAAAACGCCAACCATGAAAATACGAAGCGAACTACTTTTCAAAATTAAAAAATAAAAACTGCAAACAGCAACGCAATTATAACTGCACAAGGAGGTTTCTCGTTCAGTTACCAGGCATTTTGCAAAGAAAACAGGGTTTCATCGGACAGTCGATGTAAGTGGCGCCTCTAAACCCAGCTTCATGACCCGGTTTTTTGCACACCTGAACAAAATTTGAAATAAACACGGGCGTTTTCAAACACAAGAAGTTCTGTAATATATGTCAAATTGTTGAAGGGTTTTTACTTTGCAAACTTTCTTGAGACTAATAGTGATGGGTTCTCTCTTAGCCCTTGTCGACGTCGACGCCTCGTTGACCTCCGGCTGGGCGGGTTCTTCATCCGACTCTTCTCCGACGTCGCTTTGGGCCTCTTCGTCTTCGTCCTCTCCTTCTGAAGAACTTTCCTCCGTATCAGAGTCTCTCTCTATCACGACCTTTGGGAAGGATATGCCTCTGGTTTGCGGCGCCATTTTCAAAAAGCAGAGTGAATTTGCGAGAGAACACTCTACACTGAACTGAGGAAGAGTACAAAGCAAAATGAAAACTGAAAAAAATATATATTGTATTTATTTGTTTTGTTGACCGACTTTGATGATGCAATTACCGAAGTGTCCTTTTGGATTAAGGACCAAAACTTTTCAAATTCTTTTGGCATTTCTTTTATGACAAATTTTAGCAACATAATATAATAACTATTATTCACAAATTATTGTACAACAAGGTCTAGCCGGTCGGTTTATCATATATTTCGAACAAAAATGTAAACTATTATCATGAGATATCATATTTTTTTGTATATTATTTTTTGGAGCATAACATTAAATTTTAAAATTTGCACATATATTGAAAAAGTATAGCATAAGTATATTAATATCATAAATTCTTGTATGAGACGCTGACTTAATCGTTAAGTTAATCTATTTATTATTTTTTTTAATGAAAATGCGTAAATATACTATGAAATATCATACTTTTATTTATATTAATTTTTAAATATGACATTTTAATTAAAAATATGTATATCTTTTAAAAAATTATGTTGCATGGGCCTACAGAAGAGTAGCATTAGTGAATTAATATTCTTATTTGATATTTTGGATTCAAATAAGTACATAGGCTATGCATTATTTAACACATATTTAACAAAATATGAAAATCGAAAATATTAGTCTAAGGTATATTTTCCACGTCACCCTCTCATAATCAGAAATAACAGGGCATTTTAAATGTAGTTATATTAATATCTTAATAAAGTGTATTACTTAATCGAGATACAAATGATGAAATGAAGGGTATTATTTGCATTTTCTGTGTGTGTGGATTGGCGGGACAGTACGTGGCTGCTCGTGCACCGATTGCTAGTCGCTGTCCCCTCGGATCATAACGTGTCACACGTCCATCGCCCGCCTGAATTTCTCACATTCACGTTACGTACTTACGTTACTTGGATATAAAAAAAATCGTTTTGTTTGAATTTTTTTATTGGGTTTAGTTAATTTTGAAAAATTATATATTAGTTGTTAAATAATTATTAAAATAAAAAAATTAAAGTTGATTTGATATAAAAGTAAGAGATAGATGACTTGAAGTGGTAGTTAGTTAAAATTATATGAATAAATGAACAATGAATTAAAATTGATGAGGTGTGTAAGAATGATGGATTGATATATTTAATTATATTGATAATATCGATGATAGTGGAGTTGTATTAATATTGAGCTAAAAAAATGGTTGAGTTAAAAATGTTTTGATTTCTGTTTAAAAATTTATGTATCCAAACATCATCTAATTATTACAAGCAAAACTCATGGGAGTGTCCGTTTGAATTTTCTAAAAATTTTTAACACTTTAGAAATATTAGTATAATTAATATTTTTAAAAGTTTTGAAGTATTTTTTTAAAATCTTAAAAAAGTAATACATAATTATGAGGTAGTTAACTAATTTGAGACTATGATTTGTGACGATTTTTTAAGATTTGTTAACACTAAGTTGTGTATACACTGAGATCGACATTTTTCTTAAACATCTCATCATCATCACTTTGCTCTATTTTCACATTGTAATCAGAATCAAGAGACTCTTCAACAGAGTTCTTTTGAAGAGTCTTCATTACAGTTTTCAACATCAATTACATCATAACTTGGTATCACATCCACATAAATTTCTATCTCCCAAGAGCTTGATGCTTAATAAACCAAGACCCAACATCATCATTAGTGAAAATTTCTTTTAAAGCTATTGCCAGACAATACGTAATGTTTCCTCCTTTTTATGTATCCAACAATATCATCAGTTAAGCTATTGGTATAATAGAATGAGATTTGGTAGGAATGGAATGAGTTGAAAAATGAAATGAATATGAGAAATGAATGAAACAAGTTTTTCCATTTATGTGTTTGATATGCAGAAGGAATAAGATCTGAATGGAATGACATTATCATTCTATATTATCATTTATCACTATTTTATAGACAAAAATTAATATCTATATTAATGTTATTTTTTTAATTTATGATAATAATAAAATTATTTTATTTCTTAAAAAAATATGCTATATTTTAATAAATATATTTTGTATTGTTACACTCATACATATTATATAATAAATTAGTGAATTGTGTATTCATATACATAACAGCTAATACAAATATATAATTATATAAACCCCTATAAGCATACGTGGTCGAATATAAGTTTTTATACTATAATTCAAAATATAAATAAATATATAATATATATGATGTATAAAAATTAAATACTATTCTTTTAAATTATTTATAAAGGCATTTTTTAGTTTTATTTTTATATAAGATAGTTTGGGCACGTGCATAGGAGAGTTTTCGAGATCCGGGTGAGAAGGGTAGGAACAAACTTAATAATGCAAATAAAAAAAGTTAGGTAGACCTAAGAAAACTTGAAACAATAAAAAATAATTTAAAATATTTAAATTTGAATGGGGATATATGTTTTGATCGAGCACGTTGTTGTTGTATGTACTTAATATCTCTAATTAAAATATTTATGGCTTGTTGTTGTTGTTGTATGTACTTAATATCTCTAATTAAAATATGGCTTGTTGTTGTTGTATGTACTTAATATCTTTAATTAAAATATGAACAATAAATAAAAATAATTTTTAAAATTTTTTATTTGATTTTTTTATAAAATAATTTTATTTAATATAATTAATCATGATTTATAGTATATAGTATATATTTATTTTTTATAATTATTTGTCAATCCTATTTTTTAAAAAATTGATTTCTACATATATGAGAATGAGAAAACCTTGCATTTGCTAAATGACTAATCCCATGGACATGGGTTTTGCAATTCCTATTCAATGGCAATTCCTTTTAAAAAAATGTACTAATCATGGAATAAGGAATGAATAAGAAAATGATTAATTCATTCTCATGTCATCCCCTCATATCAATCATTAGGGTTTATATGTTCATACCTTTACTATCCAAGTTCTCAAAGATAATTGAATCACCCCCATTACAGAAAATTGACCTCCATACTACACAACAACACTCAATTGACCACTCCTACTACTTGTGTAAATTAAAAATTAAAATTTCATCAATAAAAACAACTTTACAAATGAATAAAATATTTGTCTTATGTCCCAACATGTCCGTATAAAGTCAAACATAAAACCACAATGGAATACCACCACTTAATTCTAACATTTGTTTATTTCGATAGTAGTCTAACGTCACAAAAAATAAAATAAAAAGAACTTCAAACCGTACGTAGATTAATGAAAACAATGAAGAAAAATTAAGAAAGCTTATTGTACGCATGAGGAGAAGAATTTGGCTTCATATTGCTTCACAAGTATATAGAGGATGTCATCAAATTAATGTCTTAATAGCTAGGGGGTTGCCCAAATTGCAGCTTCAAGCATTTGGGTTTTTTATTTTAGAGTTTTTTTGTTGGCTTAGTTTCGCACGAATGATAAAAATGTGTGGAAAATGTATTTATAGGCTATTGTGTTGAGCTGGATAAAGTAGGCCGCGTGCAATTCATGTCAACATAGTTTGTGAAATCAGCCAGAATTCTGACGAATTTGGCTAGAATTGGGTAAAAAGACCAAAATTTTAAATATTTTGGCTACTACTGCCAAATCGAAAAGATGGTAGCCAAAATTGCAACCATAAAAGTTATTAGCTATATTTTGCAATTTAACATATATATATATATACTATCTTATTTTTACGGCAAGCAACTTGACATTAAAACACCTAACCAGGGAGTCGAGTACATGGCCGTTGTCAAGAAGCTCATCTCTCGATGCACGAGTAGGGGAAAAAGATGGATCTCAATCTTGATCAGAAGGCTTCAGTTGGCCAACTGTTTATGTGTATAATATAATGATATGTGTGTACGGTTTACGTGTGAGAATAAGACAGCAAGAAAACAAAAACTAAGTCATGGATCTTAAATCATGAGTTTGTCCAGGGACGAAGCCACCCCAAATGTTGGAGTGGATCCAACCAGTCTAGTTATGTAAATAAAAATAAAAAATAAAAAATTTAAGCCCAATTATATGAAACCAACCCAGGTTATAAGTTGGGTCCAAAGCCAATCTACTACTGAA